ATGAGGAGGAGGAGGGGGGAGATGAGGAGGAGAGGGAGGAGGAGAGGGGGGGAGGAGGGGGGGGGGATGAGGAGGGGGGGGGGGGGGAGAGGGAGGGGGGGGGGGGGATGGGGAGGAGTGGGGGAAGGAGGGGGGGGGATGAGGAGGATGGGGAGGGGGGGGAGGAGGAGGGAGGTGGGGGGGGGGGATGAGGAGGGAGAGGGGGGGGGAGGAGAGGGAGAGGGGGGGGGGATGAGGAGAGGGAGAGGGGGGGGGGGGGGGAGGAGAGGGGGGGGGGGGATGAGGAGAGGGGAGGGGGGGGGGGGGATGGGAGGAGAGGGAGTGTTGGGGGGGGGGGGGGGAGGAGAGGGAGGAGGGGGGGGGGAATGAGGAGGAGAGGGGGGGGGGGGGGGGATGAGGAGGAGAGGGAGGGGGGGGGGGGGATGAGGAGGAGAGGGGAGGGGGGGGGGGGGATGGAGGAGGGGAAGGGGGGGGATGAGAGGAGGGAGGGGGGGGGGGATGAGGAGAGGGAGGGGGGGGGGGTGAGGAGGAGGGGGAAGGAGGGGGGGGGGGGGGGATGAGGAGGAGAGGGAGGAGAAGGGGGGGGGGGGATGAGGAGGAGAGGGAGGAGGGGGGGGGGGGATGGAGGAGGAGAGGGAGAGGGGTGGGGGGATGAGGAGTTGGGGGAGGGAGGAGGGGGGGGAGATGAGGAGGAGAGGGAGGAGGGGGAGGGGGGGATGAGGAGAGGGGGAGGAGGGGGGGGGGGGGGGTGAGGGAGGAGGAGGGAGAGAGGGGGGGGGGGGGATGGAGGAGAGAGGAGAGGAAAGGGGGGGGGGGAAAAGGAGGAAGGAGAGGGAGGGGGGGGGGGGGGATGAGGAGGAGAGGGAGAGGGGGGGGGGGATGAGGAGAGACGGAGGAGAGGGGGGGGGGGGATGAGGAGGAGAGGGGAGATGAGGGGGGGGGGGATGAGGAGGGGGATGAGGAGGGAGGGAGAGGGTGGGGGGATGGAGGAGGAGAGGGAGGGGGGGGGGGATGAGGAGGAGAGGGAGGGGGGGGGATGAGGAGGGGGAGGGGGGGGGAGAAAGGGGGGGGGAGAGGGGGGGGGATGGGAGTTGGGGAGAGGGGGGGGAATGGGGAGAGAGGGGGGGGATGAGGAGAGAGGGGGAGAGGATGGGGGGAGAGAGGTGGGGGGGGGAATGGGGAGAGAGAGGTGGGGGAGAGGGGGGGGGGGGGAAATGGGGAGAGAGAGGTGGGGAATGAGGGGGGGGAGAGGGGAATGGGGAGAGAGGAGGTGGGGAATGGGGAGAGAGGTGGGGAATGGGGGGGGAGAGGAATGGGTGGGAGAGAGGTGGGGGAATGGGGAGAGGTGGGCAATGGGGAGGGGGGAGAGAGGGGGGGGTGGGGAGAGAGGGGCAATGGGGGGGGGGAGAGGGGGTGGGGGGGGGGGTGGGGAGAGAGGGGGGATGGGGGTAGAGATTTTTAACACTTTTTTTTTTTTTTTTTTTATCAGCATGATTGGGGGGAGGGATGAAAGGAAAACAAAATAGAAAGATTCAGCTGTTTAAAATTGGTTTGCACATTGCTTAGTTCCTGAACATTGTGGCTTGTATGGACTTCTTTCCTAAGGGCCGGTTCACACCATAGAAACGCAGTCCAGATGCGTTCTGAATGCATTTCTGCATGTGTGTTTTTGATGCATTCCAGTCCATTTTTTTTTCCCCCACTTTCTTTCCATTTAAATAGGGACATGTGTGTTCCAGTGCATTTTTGATGCGCTTAACCGCATTCCAGTACAGTTCTGTGCAGGAAAAAAAATGCAACCTGTTCTATTTTTTTTTTCCTCTGCAACCGGAACACTGGAACTGCAAGCACTGATATGAGCTATGACATTGACGACCATATAACCTACTTTATGCACTTTGGATGCAGGAAAAAAAACACATTGAAACGCATGTAGTGTGAACTGGCCCTAAAACAGAATAGTAGTTTATAACCTCTCTGCAAAAAAATGGAGTCTTCTGTTTCAGCCACTTGGTGTACAGAATGACCCCAGTAGTGGCTCCCATGCATTAGGCGTTTTATAGTCCGTGAGATGCTTCCTAGGACTGGCTTCATCTAAGAATATACTGCGGCTATACTCGGACACTACACACTGAGACTTCTCAGGCGGTTATAGAGACCTAGAAAAGTGACGGCAGAAAGACTGATGAGTGGTCCATCCAGTCGTGGTTTTTTTTTTCTTTTTTTTGCATGAAGGGGTTTATCAATTTTTAAGTTTTGTTTTTTTTTTTTTTGTGTTTTTAATAGATGTATGCTTGTCCCAAGCATGTTATAATGAAGGCTGACCCTCCCTAGTGAAATGTATTTTTGCAGAATGGAGAATTGTGTGTATTTGCAATAGTTTTCTAAAGGCCCTACAATTTTTATAGATCACCACGAGGGAGGGGAAATAAAGTTTTTTTTTTTTGTTTTTTTTTTTTTGTTTTTTTTTTTTGTATTTTTTGGGTTTTTTTTTTGCAACAGAATTGGAGGTACACTTTGAAGTGTAGCTAAAGCCAAGAAACAAACTACTGTATATATACCTCATGTTTCAAATATATACAATTCCAAATTCGGGTGGGACTTTTCAGGCAGTTCACAAATCTAGATCCATGAATGTATTTTTATTAGAAACCTGTTATGTTTTGGTAAATACCTGAGAAAAAAACTAAAATTGTGTCCAAATATATATGGACCTAACTGTATAAAAATTGAAAAATACAGGAGGCCAGAGTTGTAATCAGGGCTGTGGAGTCGGTAGATAAATGTTCCGACTCCTCAGTTTTTTTTGTACTTCCGACTCCTCTGTATTAATATGCGAATGTATTTTATACATTCCTTGAAGGAAAGAGAGGCAACATACATGTCATTACCACAGGACTACCGGCTGGGAAGCCAACAGTCTACTGTATTGAACAGTTTAAGCAAAAGACAAACACAATGAAAACAACAAAGTTTTTTATTAATTTTTTTTTTATTAATTAATCAAGTGGCTGGATAGTAGCAGCAGGCATAAACATCAGGAAAACAGGAACTTGACTAGTCCAAAAATACAAACCACATTATTTGGTTTTAGAACAAAAACAAAGCTTATCTATATGAACCAAAAACAAAATCTGTAAAACACTATGGAAAGTATAAGTATTGCCGCTCCTAATTGTGCGTTGCGTGCCATATAGTGAAGCACATGAAAAGCATGCTTCTTCACGGTCACTTAACGTGTTTGTTTTGCGGTTACGTGAGGCACTGCATGCATTGGTCTTTATTCTTACAGTAGAGAAGTCATTAATTATAACTTTTTGGGAATTGGGACATTTAAACTTGCTTTTTTTTTTAATTCCAATCTAAATTTAATCGGAGTCAGAGCATTGTTTGCCGACTCCAGGTACCCAAAATTTCCTCCGACTCTCCGACTCCACAGCCCTGGTTGTAATCAAAATATATATTGGGCACAATTTTTCTCCACTTCCAATGTGTTTCAACAATATTCATTGTTCTATTAAAATCTTTATTTTTGGCACCTTACTACCGCTTGGATCTGGGGGATGGATATCGGCAAAGACTCTTGTGTTGTCCCATGTGATGTCCATATACAAGAGTTGGCGCCTTGGGTCCTGTTGAGGGTGGCATCCTTTTGAGCTCATCCTTGGGGTTTTTGCTGGGTGACATTTTATGCCACAGATTTATTGTGATCTGGGTCTTACAGATTCTCACTTCTATTGAGGAAGAAATATTATTTGCAGAGTGAAGAGAATTGTATCCAATATATTCTGATTACACCTTTGGCCTGATATATTTTTAGTTTTGGAATTCTATACTGGAACACACAAGGATGTCAGCATTCATGTTAATGGTGTAACCACTTGGTTATTTTTAATTTTCAATTCTCAGTTTCATTCCGTTACTTTAAAATTCTGTGTACATTTACTCCCCATAAACTTATTAATCATTCCAGAGATCCCCATTTTCATTCATTTCCTTTATGCCTTTGTGTCGGCAATTCATTTTATGCTGAATATCTTTGTAGCCAGGAATTCTAATGCACTCAGAGCACAGTAAGCCATGATGAGCCTGAGTTAAAGAACACACCCCCAGCATCCCTTTAGATGAGCATGTTCTGCTGGCTACTGGATGGTGCAGACTTAAGCTGTGCTGATCAGTTGCTTGATTATGGTTTCAGAAGCAGGCTTGAGACTAAAGGAACTGGACAGATGCATAGCTAGATACAAATGGAGAAACAGAAAAAGGGCGCACCGACCTAGTGCATTATCGTTTAAAATAATTTAAACGAGGTTGGCTCTGAGGAAGAGGTTGTGTCCTCGAAACGCGTTAGTCAGTTGGTCATCCAGGGTTCCATCGTATGGACTCAGATGTTGTTTGGATCATACATCTTGTTCAGTTTGACATGCCTGTGTTATGTCCATTGTGAGTATGATACCTATTTTTGTTTCTTTAATAAATTATTTTAAACGATAATGCACTAGGTCGGTGCGCCCTTTCTGTTTCTCCATTTGTATCCAGTGTATTCGGACCACCCTGGTCTGTTGATGGCAGCAAGCAGTGCATATTCCAGAACATTCCTAGCGCAGGAGTAAAGTGTTTGTTGTGACAGATGCATAGCTACAGCCTACACCAGCCATTGGCAGTAACCTTCTTGGAATGTGTACATTTAAAGGGTGCTTGGGGATGTTTCGCCATCTCTGGCTGTTTTCTTTGCCCTGGCCAAGATGTCACTCCTGTGCACTGGTGGGGGTTCATTATCAGCAATGCTGAAATTGTACACTGAGCTGTGTATGCAGATAATAAACTAACTTTAATATGGTATGTCTCTTCTGATTTTAGAAAACAATTGTTGAACGGGCAGGATTTTTAAAGTTTCACTTTTACATCATTTTCATGCCTTAAACCTTCTTTTTTTTTTTTTTTTTTTTTTTTTTTTTGTTGGAAATGTTTCAATATTGGTTTTAACATGACTGTTCTGTACATCCAACAGTATACGTACCTCCTCTCCCTCACCACCTCCAACTCCGAACACCCCGGTAACCAGAGGAAGAAGGCAACGTGGCCTCAAACGTAAAATAAGGTACAGAGTGCGTGTTGTATGTAGGAGCTTTATTGGGCACTTCAGCCTGAGGGTAACTGAACTAGGCAGCATGCAAAGCCTATGAACAGAGCCTGGTGTCAGTTGTGTGTCTGCTTTTACTCATCACTTCAAGTTTTATTAAGCATTGTGCTATTCTGAATAAAACTTGAAGTAATGTGTGGTAGGGGGGATATGATGCAGAGCCAAGAACTACTCAAATTATGCACATCACCTGCAAAATTCTGTTCCTCCTTCCAGATTGGGTGAAGGCCAACAACATGTGAAATGGCAGGCTAATCTTAAATTAGATGAATGACTAAATCCTACTTTTGATTAGGTTTTTGGATGCAGCATTTTGCATGGGGTCAAAGCTCAGTTCCAGTTTTTCCAGAGAACGTGTGCCCATAAACTGCACTGCCTGCCCAGCTTCCCTTAGGGACTACATGTCCTATGATTCAGGGCATACCATGAAACCTTGGCAGATGAGAGAGGTTGAGAAACGAGTGCATATACTAGTGCAGGGGTCTCCAACCTATGGCCCTCCAGATGTTGAACTGCAAGTCCCATGAGGTCTTGCAAGACTGACAGCCACAGGCAAGACTCCTAGAGGCATGATGGGACTTGTAGTACTTCAACAGCTGGAGGGCCATAGTTTGGAGACCCCTGCACTAGTGCATATGACAAGCCTTCTGACAGGGAGGCAGAGTCTGGAAGGACGAGCTTGGCGTACAAGCGACAGTCCTTTCTTTAGTACTGCTCAGGAGCGAGCATTTTGGTGACTTTACTGGAAACTCAATGAAGAGAAAGTAGCCACAAAGAAATAAGTGTTGCATGCCTGGATTTAAGAGAAAAAAAATATCAACGGCCTGCTGGCAAAAGTGGCAACAAATTCCAAATTTACCGCATTATGTAAAGTTTTAGTAAACTCTTTAAATCACATCTTGTGAGCTCAGGCTGTTATTGACCCTCCCCTGGGGGTACATTATCATCCTGGCCTGTGCTCAAAGTAATGCAGGCCCCCCTAGCTGCTTACTTACCACTGCTCAGGTGGGAGGGGAGGACTAGTGTTGGTTTATATGATAGTAAACCTGTCTTTTTAAACTGTTTTAACAATTTCATTCTATAGTGCTTTGTTAATGCTTTTTTTTTTTTTTCCATGGGGTCAGAAAATGGAAGCCTGCCTGCAGGATCTTGGCACCGTCCTCTCCCCAAAACGCAGCTACATTTCCGAAGACAATGATGTGATTATGGTGGGGATGAGCACTGTGCCGGAGCTGACAATAAAAGTGCGTAGAAGAGGGGAGATCTTTCGTATAAACATCCGTGTGGTAAGCTGACGGTTCTCTTACAGATCTTTCTGGCTTTATCATGGGTCTATGTAGTGACTTGTTACTTCCAGATGCTCAGCTCCTACATGGAATAGATGTATTATAAGGTCTTTCTCCTATGATGCAGTGTTCAGTATATGGAGGACCATGTGACGACCTATGATGCAGTGTTCAGTATATGGAGGACCATGTGACCTCCTCCTAGGATGCAGTGTTCAGTATATGAAGGACCACGTAACCTCCTCCTAGAATGCCGCGTTCGGTATATGGAGGACCACGTGACCTCCTCCTAGGATGCAGTGTTCAGTATATGAAGGACCACGTAACCTCCTAGAATGCCGCGTTCGGTATATGGAGGACCACGTGACCTCCTCCTAGGATGCGGTGTTCGGTATATGGGGGAGCGTGTGACCTTCTAGGATGCAGTGTTCGGTATATGGAGGACCATGTGACCTCCTCCTAGGATGCGGTGTTCGGTATATGGAGGACCACGTGACCTCCTCCTAGGATGCCGTGTTCGGTATATGGAGGACCACGTGACCTCCTCCTAGGATGCCGTGTTCGGTATATGGAGGACCACGTGACCTCCTCCTAGGATGCCGTGTTCGGTATATGGAGGACCACGTGACCTCCTCCTAGGATGCCGTGTTCGGTATATGGAGGACCACGTGACCTCCTCCTAGGATGCCGTGTTCGGTATATGGAGGACCACGTGACCTCCTCCTAGGATGCCGTGTTCGGTATATGGAGGACCACGTGACCTCCTCCTAGGATGCCGTGTTCGGTATATGGAGGACCACGTGACCTCCTCCTAGGATGCCGTGTTCGGTATATGGAGGACCGTGTGACCTCCTCCTAGGATGCCGTGTTCGGTATATGGGGGACCGTGTGACCTCCTCCTAGGATGCCGTGTTCGGTATATGGGGGAGTGTGTGACCTCCTAGGATGCAGTGTTCAGTATATGGAGGGGTATGTGACGTTCTGCTAAGATGCAGTGTTCAGTATATGGGGTGCGTGTGACCTCTTCCTAGGATGCCGTGTTCAGTATATGGGGGAGTGTGTGACCTTCTAGGATGCAGTGTTCGGTATATGGAGGGGTATGTGACCTTCTCCTGGGATGCAGTTTTCAGTATATGGAGGGATATGGGGTCAATACGTGAAATGTTACCCGCAGTATCGCATGAGGCAAGCCAATTCATCAGTAAGTAAAATCAAGTAAAATATCGAATGTGAGGTAAATACCACATATTATGATAAAATTGTGAGAAGTACCACAAAAAGGTCATTAGTCAATTCACTAAAACACACATTGGTTATTTATCACCTGGTGTGGGAGACGGCATTTTAGACATGTACAAAACAATTGGCCCTGGTTCACACTGATGCGACTTGTCATGCAACGATCAGCAACAGTATTTAACACATTTTGGTAAATAAGGCATGTTTTTTTTTTTTTTTTTTTTTTTTTTTTTTTAGTGACTTGACTACTTTTGAGATAAATACAGCATGAATCTTTTGAGTTAAAGAATCTCATGCGGTATTTATCTCTTGACCCCTGTTAGGATCCTGCTAGGATGCAATGTTAGACAATTGCCAGGCTGCTAAAAGAGCGTTTACACATTTATTTGACATTCGTTTTTTCGTATTAAGCAAGCAAAGCTTAAATTCTCGTCTACATGTGGATGTAGATTATAGTAACTTGAATAAATTACATGATCGTATACTTTTTGTAAAGCCCATTTCTAGGAAAATATTAAAGAAACATCCACTAAGAACAGGGGTGGGGGGGGACATTTTTATTCAATCCTGCCTAACCTGTATAAAGTATATGCATAATTATTTTTTTTAATCCGCTCCAGTCACATGATCCTGCAGCTCCAATACCGGGACCGTTTGGCAATGTCCATGAATTCTGGGAGATGTCGATCCGGCTCCCATGGCCCTGCCATTGTTGGCACTCCTTCGGCCTGCAGCAGATTGGACAGGCGAGTCGAAGCTGTGGGATCACGTAACTGGTGGATCAACAACGGGCTTTTTTTTTTTTTTTTTTTTTAAGACAGCATAGGTGGTAGAGGGAGTGGACATTTTTTTAAATAATTAGACTTTTTATACCATTTTAACCCCATTCCTGCACACCTCCCACCCCCCACTAACCCCTCAAGCAGTTTTTTTTTTTTTTCACTGGCTTAGTTTCCAGCTGTCGGACCACTAATTATTTTTATTATACAGTATTTATAAAGCGCCAATAGTTCGCTCAGCGCTGTACATTACAAAGGGGGACAGAACATGTGACAGAACAATACCAATACAATGCAAAACATGAGGGGATCGAGGGCCCTGCTCTTTGGAGCTTACAATCTAGGAGGGAGGGGATGGTGGCACAGGAGGAGATAGCTGTGGGGGATGGAGTGGTAGGAAGAGTGGAGGAGGTCGGTCAAGTTAGCAGGGGGTGGGGTAGGCTTCCCTGAAGAGGTGGGTTTTCAGGGTGCGCCTAAAGGAGAGGAGAGTAGGTGATAATCTGATGGGTTGGGGTAGGGAGTTCCAGAGGATGGGTGACACCCTGGAGAAGTCCTGGAGGCGGGCATGGGAGGAGGAGACCAGGGAACTAGAGAGAAGGAGGTCTTGTGAGGAGCGGAGTGTGCATGTTGGGCGGTACTTGGATATTAGGTCGGTGATGTAGTTCGGGGCAGTATGGTGGACAACTTTGTACGTCAGTGTTAGGATTTTGAATTTGATCCGTTGCGCAATCGGAAGCCAGTGGAGGGATTGGCAGAGGGGGGTGGCGGAGACAGAGCGGTTGGAAAGGTGAATGAGTCTGGCAGCCGTATTCAGGATGGACTGAAGCGGGGATAGCCAGCGGCGAGGCAGGCCAGTGAGGAGGGAGTTGCAGTAGTCGAGTCGTGATATGATGAGGGAGTGGATGAGCTGTTTAGTGGTTTCTGGGGTTAGGAACGTGCGGATTTTGGCGATGTTGCAGAGGTGGAGTCTGCATGAGTTTGTTAAAGATTGGACTTGGGGCTGGAAGGATAGGTTGGAGTCCAGAATGACACCAAGTACTCTGGCCTGCAGGGCGGGTTTGATGGTGGCGTTGTTGGATGTGACGGAGAAGTCAATGGGGGGTGGGGTCCAGGCTGGGGGGAAGACAAGAAACTCGGTTTTGGAGAGGTTCAGTTCAAGGAAGTGGAGCGACATCCAGTCTGATATGTCTAATCCAGAGTTGCATATTTGCCTGCACTTGTTGGTCCCTGACAGTCCTGACGTTACTCCTGTAAACTCATCCTAAGATCTCACTGGTAGACAGCCAGTAGGAAGCATGCAGCTAAAGTAGTATTGAAGGTGGGGGTAGCGTGAAGTCTCCATGTTTCTCAAGTTTGATTTCCTTTTATTATCTATAAGTGCTAGAAGTGATCGAATCAATGAGTTCAGAAAAAAATTTAATTTGTCACCTGCGTCTTTCAGACAGACCCGTTGCAGAGACTGGTGGAAATGGTGGCCTCGCATGTCGACGCAAACCCTTCACAGATATTGCTGCTGCGGGGAGATGAGGAGCTGAACACAAAGGAGACTGCAAAATCCCTAAATCTGACCGTGGCTGACATCATTGGTGAGATGAGAGAATGGAGACCCACTGCATGACATAGTGGCATCTGTAAAATGTATTTTTACAAAATCTGTGTTGCATTCAGCTGGTATCTTATGAATAGATGCTGCAAAATAATTTTGATAAAATATTGTCTCTGTAGACTGTATGGTCCTCTCCAGTTCTGGGGGACAGGGAGCTGATGCTGAGCGCACAGAGGAAAAGATCTGCCTGAAGGTCCAGGGAAAGGATAAACAGTCCCAGCTCACGGTCACAATAGGAAAGGTAAGGGATGCAAAGTGATAAAAGGGTGTTTTAGAGAAAAAAAAAGCCTGTTACCTGCTCAGTGACCCTCTTCTGGGGTCCCCTGACATCGCTCCTGGCTCCTCCTGCCTTTGAGTGCCCCCCTCAGCAAGCCACTTGCTGGGGAGGGGGGGTACTCGTGCAAGCTCACTCCTGAACCGCACTGTGTGCATCTAGCACAGTGTGGCTCAGAAACGCCCACTCCCTCATCACTGGATTTGATTGACAGTAGCAGGAGCCAATGGCTTTCGCTGCTGTCTATCTGTCCTGTGAGGAGGGGAGAAAGTAGCACTGCTGCTCTCATGCACCGTGCTGGACAGCACAGGTAAGTATTTTTGGAGGTTGGGGGGAGGCTGCACCAAAAAAAGTTTCAGAGAATGCATAATGGTTAAAAAAAAAAAAAACCTTTTAGCTTTTACAACCACTTTAAAGCTGAATTTCAGTCTTGCACAGTTGTACCGGCTCCTCTCCTGGACTGAAACGGCTTACTCTGCTTTCACTGCACACTGTGAGCTTCTCACCATGTGCATTAGAAGCTGCAGCAAGTCAGACAGAGCTCCGCCTCATTTCCTGGCTGGAAGATGCATGGCAACCATCCATTTCCTCCCCAGCCTGACTGTCCCTGGCCCACCCTTTTCATTTATTGGATGTCTGTTCTTTCAGTCATTCGCCGAATGTTTGAACCACCACAACATGTATAGCATGCAGACTACACTGTGGCATCAGAGGCTCTTAATGACTCTGGTTGACTTCCTGCGGTTGGGGATGTCATCTGTTGATGTTTCAGTATACTCTTTTACAGAGCGAACCCTTGAAGTCTTTGATGGACCAGTACAAGGCTGTCATGGGCCTCTCCAAGAAGGTGTGCTTCATGTTTGAAGGGAGGAAACTAAAGGGACAAAACACAGCCGATCAGCTTGGCTTGGAAAGCGATGACATCATTGAGGCCTGGGTCTGACAGCTCGTTGGCTTTTGATTGCATTGTCATACACGGCTCAGGTAGCAGAGCATACATGGAAGTCTTTCCGTTCCTTTTTTTTTTTTTCTCCTTCAGTGTAAACTTTGCCAAGACTGACATCCGTTAGTGACACTGAAGGATGAACTATCGTCTTCCATGTGTAATGATGCCCTGCCTTGAAGAGGACAGGCAACATCGTTTACTTGATATTTTTTTTTTTTATGTATCAGAAAAATAAAATTGTTTGGTTTTAGAATTCCTAATTGCAGCCGATTCACACTGCATATTTCTGGACGCTGCGTTCTGGGTTGGAATTCATCTTTTAGAAGCAAACTGGGAGCTTGCTGTAAAAACCTCAATGTATTTGCTGCTTTGGGTGATGCTGCTTATGATGATCGTGATAAAGAAGGTGCTTGAATACGGCAGAAGACTTTGATTATAAAGAGTGCTCGAATCATTACTGAAAGCAGAGACAAAAATATTAACGAATGAATGGAAACCTGCATGAGTAAAGTTTTACATGAGCAATGCAAAATAATTACCAATTCAGCTTGTCAGGAGCCGCCTCGAAGACATAGTTTAAAGGATTCAGCTTGGCCAAGACCAGTGTTGACGGCTAGCTTTTGCTAAATTTTCAGCAAGCTTTACTGAAGCTTTTAGTGCCAGTTTGGGGATGATGAACTCAAATCTTAATGAGTGTTGTCAACTTAAGCTACTAGCAGGCTTCAGCACTAAAAGTAATAAAGGCTTTTTTTTTTTTTTTTTTCTTTTACGTTATACATACTTGCGCTGTGTATTGGTTTTGCATAGAGCAGCCCTAATCTCTTCTCAGGTCCCCCACTGGTGCTACTGCTGGCACATCCATTCTGTGAGTGCCCCCATAGGAAGCAGCTTGCTATGGGGGCACCTGAGCATCCTCATTTCTGAACCGCTGCTCTGTCCATTCAGACAGAGCTCTCTGCTCATTGGCTGTGATTGATCGTAGTGGGAGCCAATGTCACTCCTCCCCCCCCCCCCCCCCTTGTTTTTACATGGTGGGGCAGCTGTGTGGGCAGAGGCAGTACGCAGGAATGGCTCTCTATTAATCAGCATTGACATCAGCACTGGCCAGCTGATCATCCAGTGAACAGAGCGGCTTTGACGATTGGTCAACTAAACAGGAAGTTTGCATGCTATGACCCTGAGACAGCTCTAGAGCAGGGGTGGGCAAACTTTTTGACTTGAGGGCCGCAATGGGTTCATATATTGGACCCGGGGGCCGGACCAAGAGTAGATGAATGATGTGTATGTGTCATCCATAGTAAGTATAGTAATATTCCCCCTTAGTAAGCATAGTGATTCATCCCCCATATAGTGATTCATCCCCCATATTAAGTCCCCAAGTCCCCCCTGTGTCAATTTACTTACCTTTGCTCCGCGCGTTCCTCTCGCCGTGTTCCCGCGCCGTTCTGGTCTTCAGGGCGGACTGTGAGAGGAGCCTGTCACGCTGCCCCGCCTACACACATCCTAACAGTATCGCGCTCTGCAGGCCGGATTAAAAGGTCCGCCGGGCCGTAGTTTGCCCATTGCTGCTCTAGAGGCACTAAGAGCGAAGGTCAGGTTAGAAGGGAAAAGAAGTTTCTGCACAAGGTAAGCTAATTGCTGCATTTATGCGTGATCTTTCATCAGCGTAAAAAACAAATACAGCCTACAGAACAGTGCCACCAAGATTTGCCTTTTAGCTGCTGGTAGTCTCAAACTGACTGGGAACTATAAGCTACATATGGGTGCCAGTTATCCTGTGTATTTCTGGGTGTTAAATGAGGTCTGACATCTCTGACCTGAAACCATCTGAATTGTTGGGGTAGGCATGCTTTGAGTGAAGTCAGAAAAATCATCATGCTTTGTACGCATTTAAAGGTGGATTCCAGACATGGTATATTTTTACCTAGTTAAATTGGTCTAGCTTGGTCCAATGTGGGGTATATACTATACCTGGGTGGCCTCCCTGGCTGCTGGATGGTACAGAAGTAGACACTGCTACTACAGTAATCTTGAGTTATGGGTCCTGAGCTGAGTAGCTGGCTCCACAGGTCAACCACTCTGTACGGGTGGCCTTTGGCGGAATGGGGCGGGGTGGCCTTTGGCGGAATGGGGCGGGGTGGCCTTTGGCGGAATGGGGCGGGGTGGCCTTCCGTTCTGATTGCACAAGGAGAGCCTGACATCACTTCTCCACCTTGTCCAATCAGCGCACGTCACTTTAATAAAAATATTATTTTAATATTAATTTCAGTTCCATTCCAACAACAGGAAAAATATCAGATGCACCCTCCCTATTGGAAGTGATAATGGGAGGGAACGATGACCGTAACTAGGGCTGAGCTCCGTATTTTCTTCCTAGAGCAGTGGTAGGGATCTTTGAGCCTGGTACACACAGGCTGACAATCAGCCGGTTCAGCAGGAACCAGCCAACTTCTGATTTGTATGCACAGCTGTCTGTAAATTGTAAGCGTTATTCAGTGTTCTATCGCTCTTCTAGACAGCAATGTCCATAGAATAATGTTGACCAGTCCTGCTAGACTGAATAAATAGGGCAATAAAAGCCCTTAGAAAATTCAAAGCCAATGGATTGTGTCCCATGTTAGTTATACAGGTTGTACCAGAAGGGTAGCCAAAAGCAGTATTTACTAAAAAAAAAAAAAAAAAAATTAAAAACCATTCTAGTCCTTCTCTTACCTCCTCGTTATCTCTGCAAGACTGTTAAACATCTTTCTATTAATAAATGTAATTGCTTTGTATTAAGTGCCACTCCAGACTTTCCTCTTCCTACCATCTCTGGCGTTTGGTGTTTATTATCACTTTATTGTCCAGCAATGTTGGTATAAAAATGGCTGTACATGGACATCATTCCTTGGGGGGGGGGGGGAACTTTTATCCAGGTCTGCAATCTCAGCCCCCATCTAAAGTCACACCCTTTGATGTGTTGCTTTAGCTGAGACACAATGGGGTTTATTTACTAAAGCTGGAGAGTGCAAAATCAGACTCCCTTCTGCATAGAAACCAATCGGCTTCCAACCTCAGCTTGTTCAATGAAGCTTTGGCAATGAAAGCTGTAAGCTGATTGGTTTCTATGCAGAAGGGAGTCTGATTTTGGACTCTCCAGCTTTAGTAAATAAACCCCACTGTGAGTCCAAAATCAGACTCCCTTCTGCATAGAAACCAATCAGCTTCTAACCTCAGCTTGTTCAATGAAGCTTTGGCAATGAAACCTGGAAGCTGATTGGTTTCTATGCAGAAGGGAGTCTGATTTTGCACTCTCCAGCTTTAGTAAATAAACCCCAATGTGTCAGTAGGGGGAGTCTTTTTAAGTGACTTGCAATGCATGTTCAGTGTGAATGAGTCCCTAAGAAGCGGCTCTATTGCAGCATTTTTTTTTACCTGGCTATACTGATAACATTTTATGTAGTTTCTTAAACAGACAGCAAGGCCTCCATATTTCATGGCCTGTGAGCAGTAGGTGGACTATTGATGTCATGTGGCCTTACTTTACAACATGGCTGCCTCCTCCTGTATAGACAACATGGCTGAGGTTGTTCCTCCAGTAACAGTTCATCAATTTGCTGCGAATGTACAGTATTTATCAAACCAGGTAACATTTCAATGCAAGTTTTGTCCCTTTATATATGTTCAAGCTTTTTTATATTTTTGTTAATAATCACTATAAAATAAAATGCCAGTTCCTTAGCTGGCCAGTGTTTTGCTGCTGTGTGTGGTTTATTTGTAGGTTTTAAAGCAGGCAAGTCCTGTAACTAACTATGGAACTATATTTGTTTCTAGATACACAGAATATAACTGGATATAACATTTATAGGGAAAGTTGATCCAGGGAATATCCGATTGCCTCTCGGGGGATCAGGAAGGAATTTTTTTCCCCCTGCAGGAGCAAATTGGATTGTGCTTTGCTGGGTTTTTTTTTTGCCTTCCTTTGGATCAACTGTGGGTGTAGGATTATAACTTCTTTTTTTTCCTATGGTTTAACGGGATGGACTTTTTTGTCTTTTTTTTCAGCCAGACTAACTATGTAATTATGTCCGTGGTGCATTATTGTTGAAGCTGCCATCCAACGCCTATGTTGAATAGAGTGTGGTACAGGGGCCTGTGGCTCACTTCTGATGTTGGTGACCGGAGTGATAGAGGGTGGAGAAGTACCGCATCTTTCCCACCATGATCTAGTGATTATATCCCATGTTGCCAGTAATAGTACATAAGTGTGACTAAGGGCTCATGTACACTGCAGCTCCTAAATTGACGTTTCAGGAGCTGACCAGCAGTTTTTCAGCAGCCCCTGAACTCTCCCTAATGTATTCCTATGTGTTCATGTACACACCATTTTTTACAGTCATTTACAGGCAGTTGAGTTTACAGTCATTTTTTTTTGAACGCACTAAACGTGTGTTCAGGAGTAGATTTTACCGGTGTTTCAAGCGCTTGTAAATGCGGTTAACCGCGTTTATAAGCATTTGCGTTTAGAAGTGTTTAACTGTTCCATATCCAGATGCTGCCCAGAGCCTTTTTTCATCATCATCAATGCATGCAAAGTGTTCAAATGGACCCGGTACACCAGCGCAGTCAGTTCCAGGTTTCGCGTGAAGGAAACAATGGTAGAACGTGCCGCATTATGCTCGTGATGGGATCCATAGTGAATACAACCAGAAAAGACAGGTCATCTCCACACATACTGCTCTCTCTGCTTCTGCTCTCTCTATTCCTTTCAAAATGTCTGAAATAGTTATTTACTCATTTTCAGTGCATTCTGGGCATTTGGGAGGGTCTCCTGAGGTTCTTTTAAAAATGGTTCTAAGCGCAAACGGTCATAAACGCGGCATACAAACGCGGCTAAACTGATGTTTTTTTTTAACCTATGTTTTCCAGCAGTCAGTTTCCATCGTTCAGAAGAGTTTACCAAACTCCCCCATATACATGAGTCCTTAAAGTGACTCTACTGAACAAAAAGGGCATCT